CCATATGGAAGGAACCATGAGCATCACGCACACAAATACATTAAGAGGTTGTGGAAATAGATCTGGAATGGGAATACATCGGCCCCAAATGATCATAAATAAATAAATGGGGAGGTTAATAAGATGGTAAAAAGTCTCCCCCCCACGACAGCCAATGCATTCGCAGGCGGCTGCTGCAGGGAGAATTTTAGCATAGGGTCCCTGAACATCGTATGCAGGCTGAGCCCTTCTGGCCTCGTCTAATAGCTGAGGGAGCAGTTCACTGCTGGGCTGGGTAAGTGAGGAATGAGAGAGTCACTAGGTAACGGTCCTTAATGAGATACCCTCAAACAAACAAGCTGGGCGCACCCCGAAGCCCAGCCTGGCACGCAGTAGACCTGCGGTCCATGCACGAGGCTGCTCACATCTGCCCTCCCTCCAAGTTCAGGCTCCAGCGCGGACGAGCTGTCAAATCATCAAATCTAGATTTTGTTGGAACAGCCAGGCTTCTGCACAAAAATTGTTTTGACAAGCTGTGTTCACAGACCCAAATTTCCTGAAAAAATTCCCAAAACAAATATCCTGAAAAAATTTGTGACCAGTGCTAATCGGCATATATCCACGCTGTTAAGTTTGCATAGAAAGCTGTACATTAGGGTAATGAAAACAGGGGCAGAGGGTTAATTAAATTAAAAGAATTTTAAAAGGCCTTGCTGATCAACAGCCCTGTTGCTCCGTTCCAAGGAGAGATAAAAAGGAAATTAACTCTACATCTCATTAGAAAGAACTGGGAAGGGGAGACACACACACAACGACAGAGAGAGGTAGGAACGTGTATGCAAGTAGCTAAAAGGAGACTGAAGTGGACAAAACCTTCCAAACAACCCCAAAATAAACCGTGAGAATCAACATCCCCACCTGGGACAATCCGTGGGGTTGGACAGGTGAGACAGTTCTGGGCTTTGAGGTGCCACATTGTGACGAGGCTCTGAGCCCCAAGCTCAGCCAGCCGCCAAAGGAGGTTAGGTGGGCACTCGCTCCCTGCCTCGCACAAATCCCAGTCCTGCTGCTTCGTCATTAGGTTGATGTTTTAGCTCCCACAGTAAGACCACTTCTTACCTTTGATCCACCGCCTGGAGACTTTCTTAATTTAAGAGATATTTTCGGCCCATTTGGAAAAGACACTCTTGCTAACCCTATGAAAGCAATCCTGGTGTCTGGCAGAGCTCTGCTTGAGCAGACTTATTAAAGGAGGCCAAACGAAACTTCCCATGACCCAGTACATTTCAGAGAAAGCATCAGGATCACAGGGCTAAAATAGTTTATCTTGGCTATTGGATTTATTTTGGCTGTAACAAATATTTTGGCTTCCTTCCCTATCAGTTTGCCAATGAAAACACAGATCCAAGGTTTTCAGACTGCGGGATTGTAGCAATTCTGAAAAATGACAAAGTGAAACACATACCAGCTAATAAAGAGCTATTCATGCTATAAATGCCCTCTTGTGCTGCTTTCTGCATACTGTAACTCAGCTTCTGGAAATACTGGGCCCGTTCGCCCTAACATTGATCTCAGAGATTTGTTCTGCAGCAAGTCACACGGATGCTTTCTTTACAAGCAGCCTCTCCAATTTTTAAGCGGTGTATTATTCCTCTTCCACAGAGACACAATGCTATCCCATTTTTTTATTATTAGGAATAAACGACGTTGGGGAAGATAACTCATGAAACAGGCTACCAAATCGCCTGTTCACATTGAAGATAGTAATCCAGTATTATTAGGTGTCAGTGAGAATCACCAAAGATAACACCCTCATTTTTTTTTTATCTCTCTCCATTGATATTGGGATTATATCCAATGGTGGTTTTGCAATTCAATATTGCAATACTCCCTTCTCGGGGAATCCACCACACGATTACTCTGCACAGACCACGTAAGCCCAGCATTGTGGGCCTGCGTCCAGGAACATGCCCTCCAAATGCCCACCGGTGCAGCAACGAGAGGACCTCCAAACCGTCCAACCTCCAAACCCTGTTCACCACCTGGAAGTGAAACTCGATCTTTCTGACGACGGATTGACCTACAATATAGATTCTGCCCTTGGAACTTAGTCAATGACTACAACAGAGCTATATAAATCAATAAACCAACTCACATTATTTAGCAAAATAGGCTTTTGTAGCTAAAGGTAAAAGATGTGGAAAAGAAAAAGACATTTGTACACAGAACGCTTCTTGTCCTGAGAACTTTAAATTGAGATCTCATTTATTAATCTGTGGCTGGTTCTCTGAGTAAAACCTGGAATTTATCTCACTCCTTTAAAAAGCAGTGGGAAGTAAGAGTTAGGTTCTCAGTTAAAGTTGTTCTATCACTCAAGGGTAGGAGAGAGCTGTTGTGGAGTATATGACTCTTCTGCTAAATATTATAGTCACCATTCTTGGTCTATAACTCACTGCTTCGGTGACAGAGATACCAACAGGCAAAGACATTTTATTACATTATTAGTTCCTCAGACCCAGAATCTAAAGACCACTCTTGTATTTTCAGACTATGGAGACCTCCATCTTGTACCCTACAGGATGACCAGATAGACACAGAAAAGGAAATAATAGAGATGAGTGAAGGCACAGATTTCTCTGAAAATATCATTCATAAGCTCAACAGCTTTCTTATTCTTTCCTTTTCCTCAACCTGGAATCTGAACTTTTCAGACTGAGTAAAGACCTGCAAAGACTGGGGCTCCTCTAGGGTATGAGCAGCAGAAGCCTGAACTGACACAGTTCTGCCAGGGACACTTCTCACCTCATACTTTACATGTTTTATAGAAACCACGGCACTACTCAGAATTTATTTTCCTCACTTCTAGACCAAAATTACAGCCAGGAGTTTGAATAGAAGTCATAGTTCAGAGGAAAAGCAATAATTGTTACTACGATAAACACTGCAAAACTCAGGTATAAGCTGATTTATTCGAGGAAAACACAAGGCGCTTTAGTGATGTGATGCGTTATGAATGCAGCAACAGCTACCGGTGCTTTATCTGAAATGGAATTTTGTGCTGGTTTTTGCATCAGCTTCTTGACTATCTGCTTCCCTAACGAAGAATTAAAAACAAAGTGTCTGACTTTTCAAAAACAGGACAGCACAAAGACAGCCAAATATTCACAACAGACAGAATTAATGGGGGCTTCCAGATCGCGTAACTTAACTGGTTAAGTTAGTGACAGAGCGGCAGCCGGATCCCAGCTTTCTATTTCAGGAAGAGACACTAAATCTTCCAAATAAGCCAAAACGACAAGAAATGTCACTTATAAAAAAATTACAGAAAAGCAAAGGAAGTAAGATGGCCAGACAGGGAAAAGGCTGCCACAGAAATAAATATGCCATTTACATCTCAAAGATGAGTTTTAACATCAACCTAATGCTGATGTACTTGAACTAAGAAAAAATGACTGCACTTTCTAGAAGGAATTAAAAATACTGAATCGCACACTGACTTTGGAACAAAGAACAAATGCTTTTTTTCCAGTCAAGGCAGAGGTAAAATGTTGATGTAAATCTTTGTTAATAATTGTCTATCAGTTCATATTTCTGCACAGTAACTTGTTCTTCAGACTTTCCTTTGCGTGCACAACTATTTTACCCTACACAGAGATGTAAACTCATTTCCTTCCAGTGAACTGTCCCTTAAAAGTTCAGGCAGCAAAAGGATTCAGTAAGAGCCCAGAAAATGCCTCCCTCTCTCCATCTCGTGGGCACAAATGAATATTGCAGCATCTGACTTGACCGCACTGAACCCTGACTCAGGGAAACATCCAATTGTGTGCACGAGTATGTTCATCTATAGGAATATTTTTTTAACATATACTTAAAACTTAAATCATGTGCTTAAATCCCACTGACTAAATTATCTGTGATAATGAGCTGTCCCTCCAAATACTTATTAAAGCCAGGAGAATCTCTTCGCGGCTTTTTTAATTTTTTCTTTCTCCAAATAATCGAGGGAATCCAGCGCCATTTAACACAATGCAGGAATCACACAAAGTATAGTATTTCAGAAGAAAAGTAAAGGCACTTACCCACTCGTGATGTCATCAGCTCTGATATTCTTGCCCAGCACATCCCCGTCGCTCATATAGCCGGTGGCATCCATGGTGATGCCTTCCAGATCGATTTCATCACTTCCCTTGTCCGAGATGTCCACGTGGCAGACACTGCTACCGCGGGACGCTAGCTGCCTCCGCAAAGGTGCCGAATACATGTAACGTCCCGACTCCGTGTTGATGAAGCGGCTGGCGTTCCCGCGCGGAGGATACCCGTTTCCCATCGACGGAGCATCGCCTGCCTGCAGGCGGGGGCTGGACTGCCCCAATCTCCACGATAACGGGGTCGGTCGTCCCGTCAAGCTGAGGATGCTGCGGCCGCTTATCTCGGTAGTGACATTGGTATCAAATGTAGTTTCCAATGTGCTGAAAAAAATAAATGCATTTGATTGAATGTAGACCGCTATATGGAACCTTAAAAATGGGACTGCTACACCGTTGAGATTTCATGGGAGCGTATAGATTGCAAGACCCTACACACTGAACACTCGCAGCTTAGTTGTGGCTAAATTTAGTTGCAGCTAATCCATAGGTGCAACTTCTCTTTCCCACACGAACTCCCCTTTTCCTTTCCTGCCCAGCTAACATAGTGTTATTTTTTTTTTTATTGTGGATATTTGTTAAGGTAAGAACATTGTATTTTTTGCAATATAATGTTAGATCTGTGCTGCAAAAAACTATGTCTCCTCCAGTTATAGTAACTAAATCACAATAAGATGTTACATTAATTGAAATTTAAAAAGAAAAATAGCATTGGGAGTTCATCTTCGTAAGCTCTGCCTCAGTTTTAGATACAAAGCCAAAACACAAAGCGTTCCCCCGATAAACTTGTTTAGGGCTGGAGTCCGTAAGGCACTGAGCAGTAAGTAGGACCCCGACCTCATGAGGGGCCAAATAGCTCGTTCTCCCAAGCCTCCTGCTCAACACTGAAAAGATCTCAGTCACGGAACGTTTAAATGTAGCAACAGTCTTTGTTTATTTAGAGCATATTTTAAATATTGCTGAAGATTTCCAAATGCTGCTTTACAAAGAAAAAGCAGGTATATACCTGGACGACTAATAATATTAGAAAAATTTGTTTGCCCAAAGATAGGTGGGGAATTCAAGTTATGCACTTGATGAAGTGGGTCAAGCACAGTTCACCTGCTTATTTAAACAAAATATTACACATGGGGGAGAGGGGTGTAATGCACTGAAGTTGTTCAAGAGTAAGATGAAGAAACATTTTAAACTGTAACCTATATTCAAACATCACCTAACACATTTAACAAGCACTGATTTGTGCTCCACCTTTGCTTGTATATACAACGCGCCACCTCCAATTACTTATCACAAATCTCAATAAACACTGAACGTAGTTCAGAATCTGTACTTTAAAGACAAAAAGTACAAGATCGCTATTTTCCACTGTCAGTGTTAATCATTTTTCAAGGATGCAACCCAGCCAGATCTGAGAGAAGTAAAGGAAGAGCACAATGATTTCCATTTTCTTATAAACAAAGCCACGCCGTTACCTGTGAGTGACCTGGGTTCCCCGTAAACTGGACATCGTTTCCTCTAAGTTCTGTCGAAGATCGGCAATGTTTTTCACAGTTCGCAACCGCCGAGTTTCTGGATCCTCTCCTACTGGGAAAATAAACCATTAGAAAGGATAAGGCAGGAAACACCACAGAACTGAGCTCGGATGCATTTTTTCTGACTTTCTGTTATTTAACACTCTCAACCGATTAGGAGGCAGATACTGTTTCCCTATGGCAAGGCACCTGCCGTCGCTGCAGCCGGACTGAGAACGAGCTCTGTGCCGTTCACTTTATTTCACAGGCTGCCTTTGCACCAGATGTTTCTCTATTGCCATTTCCCCATATGACCCAATTTAAATCCTGGTTAACTTTCAATCTCATTAGAAGATATACTCCATCAATACCACCCTTCCCATCTCATATATTGACACAATTAACATCAACTTGACACAGCCAGTTTCGCCAATGCTATATTTTCACTGGGCCTTCTTTTTCCTATTTTAAACGGATCTCATTCTACAACAGCAGCTTTCCAGTAAACTAAATTGTGTTGCCTGGGTGCTCCATGCTGAGTGACATTTTAGGTAAAATAGCAACAGTTTTTGCTTGTCCACAGAACAACACAGCCATCGTTACTTAAATGTGCTACATGACACAAAGTTGGGGGATGATTTTTACTCTCCCTGGCATTTAGAAATCCTGTTCTTTAAACACTCTATTCTAAAATACGTTTATGACCTGTTCTTTAACTCTAAAAGTAGAGTTTATATACATTAAAAAAGTCCTCCTAGTGCCTCAGCACAGTTTATTTTTATAAAATTAATAATTTAATTAGTGCCTCAGCATAATTTATTTACTTGTTCTCAGCTATCAATTAAGAAATGCTTTGGTTGCTAACTCATCTGAGCTTTCCATAGTCAAACCTTCTAAGAGGTTGAAGAGAAGTGAATTTCTAGCAGTGCCAACATACTCTTTGTAAGCTGAATGCTGAAACAGAAAACCTCCAAAAAGCCGTCACAAAACTTCTGTTGGGCACAGAAGGAAATGATTTCATTCCAGAGGGTTTACAACTCATGACTAAAGAAAATACTACAGCAAATTTTAAACTTTTTAAATTTTGTATCCGCCTTCTCTGCACAAGTGATGCATTCTTAAGCTGCCAGGATACTGGTCATCCATGCGATCGCTAGTTTAGATGGCTATCTGTATATTACACAAATCAGAAGCGTTAAGGACCAGATAAATAAGCCATTGTTGGAACTTTCCACATTCTTTGCTTTAAACTTCATGTTTCTGAAAGATGTCAAGCTGGTGGCACATAAAAACAAACCGCGTATCTCGCCTGCAAAGCACGGTAGCACAAACTACTCGCTGGAGCCCCAACGACGGGGGAACCATCGAGGGAGGGGAAGATAGACTGTAACGCTTATACAATCATTAGCCTTCCTGAGACAAACAACAATGGCTCAGGTAGTGCCCGCAATTTTTTTTTAATGGATCTCTACTCCCAGGGCAATAATCTCCCTGGGATACAACTCACTTAGGCCAAATGGTCAAACAATTATGATCCGGCTGGATTGGAAACAGCCACCTAACAAGACCAATTCCTTGAGCCAACGGGTCTCTGGGACAGAAAATATTTTCTATGCTCACAGATCTACAAATTTTTACAGTAAAGAACATTAAATATTTATAGGCCTTTAGCCTAACAAAGGTTACAGCGCTCTTTTACGGATCATTTCTCTCATAAATGTGAAGGCAAACAGTAGATAACTTCTTAAAGAGAACATACATGAGACTAGGTAAACCAATTTCTATTGAGATCACTCTTACGCCTAAATTGATACAAAATTTTTACTTCAATGACATTCAATTGCTGAAATTATAAGTATACTTAAAAGAAAGACTTGGATAGTGCCACTAGAACTTAATTATTAAATCACTTAGCCCTTCATGAATAGACAGTATCATTAAACTAGCCAGCTTCCAGTTTTCTCTACCTATACTCTCTCTTTTTTTTTTTTTTTTTAATATGTGCCTTTAAACTAAAAGCATCAATAGCTGCTACGTAGGGAGAGAAGAAAACTGTCCCTTGTTTCTTCTAATTTATTTGGGTTGAGGGACCATTTTGTTTTGTTTGCTCCTTTTCTCCTACGGCCCCTTTATGGACTGCTGCTCTCTGTGGGGTCGGGCTGCACGCAGCTGCGTTCTGCATCTCCATTGTTCGAGGTTATCAGTTGTCTTCTACTTTTGGATCCCAAAACTTACATATTCTACTTGAATAATAAGTTTGTATTTACATAACATCTGTCATTAAAGACTTTTTGTGATCTAGAAACACTTTGCAGTTTACAGGCTGAGATACATCTAGGCTAGGCAATATGATGATTAAGAGGTAAAACTGAAAAAGCGTAAGCAGCTGGACACTCTGTGTTTCTTACTTTGAACTGGCTCTCCCATTCAAATATGAACCCAAAATGTTCTCAAGGATTTTCTCCCTTGTGCCACTTATTTGCCTTTTAAATATTTAATCCATATATATATATCTCTCCATATATAAATCATACACACAGATATGCTCATTTTTAGCCCTTTTCCTCGCCAATGACTCTGCCTCTTGCCTTTGCCATCAGGTACAAACACAGCACTGACAGAATATGTAATACAGTATGAAATTCATCCAATTGTGAAACTTTTAACCGCATGATTTTTTTCAAGTCAGACAATCAATTTCAAAACTCCCATTAAAGTGGAGGACACCAAGACTAAGTAGATGAAAAAATCTGACATTCTACTGATGAAATATACTGCAATAGTATGCAATAAACAAAGCCATAGACATTCCTGAAACTGGAATAGGAGGAGACTTGACTGTGACTTTAAAAATGTGGTTTAGGTCTGGAGTGCAATATGGTTGCTAAAAATGGCTTTGTTTTATTCATAAGCTTAAAAATTATTGCTAATAATCATATAGTTCTTACATTAGCAGGAATTCTAGATAAATGTAAGTAGTACTTTCCAACTTAGACTGCTATTGTTCTAATCACAAACAGTTTCAGGTCCTGTATGCTGGACACAGTAAACTGTAGTTGGATTCTGGTCTCCCACCACTGCAAAGACCACTTCTCAAATTGACCAGATTCATGTCAGCGAATAGCGAGATTCCTCCAAACCTATAAATGAACTAAAACTTCAAGGAAATTAACTTAATCTCTTCTGTAAGCTCTGAAGCAAAGCTTTAAAAAGTAAAAAATAACTATCAAGTGTTTGGGAATACTTAGGATCCTTATAGGAGGCTTTGTCCTAAAAGGTCCTGCATATCTCCTAGAAAAACCTGAAGCACCCGAATTCCTAATGATTTCAAAAAACTGGGGGGGGGGCACACCACTGCGCAGAACTTGAGCATATGGTATTCAGACTACTGACACCCAGGTGCTATTGCTGAAGAGCTGAACGAAACATCGTACCTAATAAGAAACAAAGCTTTAGGAATAAAATCAAACTAAATGTCCCCCTAAAGAGGGAACTCCTAACTCCAAACTTGCTTTAGCCCATTCTTATCTAACCAGACCAGAGTCAGTAAAAGTCGTGTTGCAAGACGTACCTGAGAGGTCTTCAAGAGCAGGCTGTCCAGTTTTGACATAAAGAGCAGAATCCATGCTGACCCCTCCTGTGCTGGCCTCGGCTGTTACGTTCCCTTCGTTGTCTGTCTGAGATCTGGAAGGCAAAACAAAATAGAGATGTGCAGTCACTCTGCATCAAAAGTATCTCAAGAATAACAACTAGACAATTGCACCCGCCATCAGCTGCTCTGTCCCTCTCTCCAGAACAGACCAGCAGACTGATTTTACATAATTCATTAGTCCCATGTTGAACTACGTCCTAGAAATGGAAACAAGCACTCAGCTGTAAAAAATAAAAAATTCATAGTTAAAGATAGGCTTTACAGCTCTTTAGTCAGGGTCTTAAGACACTTGGATTTCCAGCTAAATTTTAATTATCAATAACATCAGTTGTGGCTAATCTGATCCTCTCTAATATAAAGTCCGTATTGCACAAATATGAAGCAGGTAGGGTGCGATGGCATGTTACACTCCTGCTAATTTCTTCAGTAACTAGCAATGTCACTCATTTGTATTCTAAAATAAATGACTGGGTAAAAACAACTTCAATTTATTGTCAGACATCTGCCAAGAGATCAAAGGCAAATATGCATATAGTAGAACTGAAAAATGATGGAAAAGGGTGACAAACGTGACCAAAGGGTATGAACAGCATCTCTACAACTAAAAACAAAACAGGGTAGGACACCTTAGCCTAGAAAAGACACATCTTAAGGGAGGAAAGGGTATGATAGAGGTGTCTCAAATCATGAGCAAGATGATGATGAAGACGACACAACAACCGCTTGCATTCTCTTCTATGAAAGAATCAAGCAGTGTCAAAGGAAACTAGGGGATGGCTGTCAAACCCCAAAATTCCACCATCTGACTCAGGAATTTCTTGTGTCATGGTCAGGCTTGGGAGCAGGTCCTTAGGAAGCTTTGTTACTGATTTCTCTCTCATTACTCTTCCCTACATATCCTCTATTGCCAGTGTCAAGCAGATGTTGGGAGTAGATGGAGGTTCATTGTGAGTCCATATGGCTGCTCTTATGCTTATCTAATTCAGGGTTAAAGCACAGAACAGCAGATATTGTGCCTGGCCTTACCTATTCTAAGAAATTTTGTTGTTGTTTTGTTTTGAAGATTTCCCATTACTGCTTACAGTGATGCAGCTCCACCACTGTAAGCCACGCTGAAGAGAATGAGCGTATCTGTCAAACTGGCGCTGCTACAACTTTTAAAGCTATGAGGCATGAAACAAACCTAATACACACGCTACAAAAAAGACGAGCAGTAGCTGGTCATGAAGGCGTGGGTGTTATCATCTGAACTGGTAGCAGGGTCAGATACAACAATTATTCACCCTTCTATCTATCACAACTTCTTACACATCTTAGTCTGATGGCCTTCATCAACAATTATTGTGTAGATGTATAAATTGTCCACTCTCTTAAAGCAAGAAACTTTTACATGATGTGGCATTCATCTTGCCGCCTCATCTCCCTGAAAGTGTCCAAAATGAGGCAGTGGCACAGGTTGCCCAAAGAAGCTGTGGATGCCCCTGGATCCCTGGCAGTGTTCAAGGCCAGGTTGGATGGGGCTTTGGGCAGCCTGGGCTAGTGGAGGGTGTCTCTGCCCATGGCAGGGGGGTTGGAACTAGATGGGCTTTAAGGTCCCTTCCAACCCAAACCATTCCAGGATTCTATACAAGTGTCACGTTCAAAACAGTCCACTGGAGAAGTTCACCATACCTGTACATGAAGGGAGCTACCGTGGCAGTGTTCGGGTGGCTGTATTGCTGTTGGGGATGAGGTAGCTGAACACTCACAGTATTGCTCCCTGTGGTGTGTGTCGTCGCGGCGGGTCCGTTGACAGCTTGGCTGCTGCTGCTGCTATTGAGACCTCCTACGCCTTTTCCTTCTGAAGAGGCTAGGCTGGACGAGGAGCTGGAATGCCTGCTGTCCAGCTGAGACTTCTGATGAGAGAGCCCCGAGCCGGTTTTCCCGCTGCGGCTTCTCTCGCCTTCCTTTGCAGGAACGGGGGCACTTGAGGATTTCCCTGTGGTGTTTTTCATTCCTGGTTTTGGTATTCCACTGTGCGAAGGGGCAGAGGCCTCCTTCTTGGCACTATTCAGCTTTCCTCCTTTAGGGATAAAGCTTGCGATCTTGGAGGATTTTTTTGGCATCTCTGTTGTTGCTAGTGCTGTCTGTTCTTCTTTTGGTTCCTCTTTCACATCCAGCTTTTCCGTGATCGATGTTCTCTTTGCAATATCTTTACTTTTATCCTTTTCTTTCTCTTTCTGTTTCTCCTTATCCTTCTCATTACCCTTTGGAGAACTCTTCTTGTTAGTTAGTGCCCGGCTAAAAGTCCTTTGTGCAATGCCCTTGAGTGCAATTTTGGGACTACTGGACATCGATCCCGGATTGTTCACATTCTGATTCGCGGCATCAATTTCTTCGCTTTCCTCAAAGCTGAGAAGCGCCTCTAGCTTTTCACAACTGTTGTCCCGAGACCCCGGACACTCGAGCGTTGTCCCTCCTGCTTTGGAACCTCCTTTGCTATTGAAGAGTTTTAATTTTTCAAGCATGGATTTTTGACCGTTGGGAGTTGTTTTGGCGATTTCCGACGGTGGCTTTGGAGGCTCCGATACGGGCTGCTTTACGGATAACATGGAAGACGTAGCTGTGTGCTTAGCACTAAGGGACTTGCTGCGCCAAGGTTTAATAGCAGAGCTGGGCTGAGGGATGGCTGATGAGTTATTGCAACTAACAGTACTGCTGCAGCTTTGAACTGAGGATGAGACATTTTCATTCATTCCTGTGGGCTGGGAGGCTGTACTGTCTGCAGGCTCTGGAAAGAAACCAAAAAACAACCCAAAAAACCAACACAGTAGTACCTGATATTATAGCTAGTCTGAGATTCTTTTTGTAATGAAACATTAGGAACTTTACACTAATAACATTAAAAAGACACATATCACTGTTTTCAACATCAGTATCACTTAAAGAAAATAAAAGCCAGTTTTCTTTTCCTACCCAGCAGAACAACGAGTTCCTACTATGTAATTTACATTTACTTGCTGTTTCAAGGCAAAAAAAAAATAAAAAAAAAATATAAAATCTCCTCCAATTCAAACCAAAATGTGTTTTGCAATGTGTTCTCCCTTATTAAGTTCATAATACTTTTTCATTAGCAAAAACACAGCACTATTTTCTAACTAAGGCTTCCCTCTGCTTTTGGCAAAATATTTGCTGTCAAACCTCGATTCTTAGAAAAACCTCAAACATATAAATAAAATGCAAGAGTAAGGAAAAAATTAAAGATGAAGTCATTTCAGTTATTGGGGAAGGGGAGGATTAGACCTTTGTATGCAAAAGGTAGGAGAAAATTCCATGTACAAAAATAAAACCAATTGTGTTCTTATGCAATGAACCTAAATTAAGTATTACCACCTATCTTAAACCAGCTGTGAGAGAAACTAGTGGCAATAACAGCCCTCCTCCCTCAGAGAAAACAAATCTTTTATTTAATTAGTTCCTTTTAATGTTATTTGTTCTTGTTAATAAATTAGTTCAGAGCTTAGAGAGAGCTTGAAAAATCACACTCACCTACCAGTGGCCAGTTCTCCTCTGAAGTTTCTCTCTGCAGAGTTTCCTTTCTGGAGACGTTACTCTCTCAATTATCACAAATATGTTTTCTGTTAAACTGCTCATGGTTCCAATTAACTTTTGTCATCTATGTCTGTTCGCCTGCCCAGCAGCCTGCTGGGGATTAACGGCTCTTACCTATATTTCCCTGCCCTCTAGCAATAAAGTAAACTGTGTATAGAGCTGCATTTTTTTAATTCAAAAATACACAGCGGTTGAGAGCGTGCGTTTTCAGCAGCAGGAGCAGCCCTCTGAATTCAGCCCTGTAAATCATGAGCCGCTGCAACCACACAGGGACTGTTTTACTTCACTTTCAGCTGCTCAGTGAAGATACGGCTCTGTTAACCTCCCTCCCCTGATCCAAACCAGATCTACTAAAGATTTAAAGCACATACATCTTCCTGACTTCGCGTAGAATCAGGTTTCTATGAGTATTAGAGACTCCTTAATAATAAACTCAGTCATTTCACATCATTATGGACAAAGTGGGATAGCAAGAATTAATGATACTTTTAAAAATATTACTGAAGTCAGAAGATTTCCAGGACTCCGTTATTAAGCAATAACTATTATACTGCCGGTTTTGCTAGTCCTTTTCCTATGGCAAACTACCCGCACAAAGATGGAAGGAAGCAAGAGCTGGATTACAGACGCAGAAAGGAATCGTACTTCTTTTAAGCTAGTGCCAGCCCGCTGACTTCCAGGGCATTCCTCCTGTTTTACTCTAGTACAGAAGGAAAACCAAGCCACTAAACGTGCCTAACAGCAATGCCACCTGGTCCTCTAGTTGCTCTGCTCAAGCCTGCTAAATGCAATCCGATGGGTTAAGGAGAACTAAGAAGCAGTAGTGGAGGAGGTGCAGTGACACCCAGTGCACGGGAGAGCACCGACCCACCACCCAGCACCCTGCCCGCAGACAGGAGCAAGGAAGGAAGGTCACAACTACTTCAGAAGCTGTTGGAAACGTTACTCCCTCTGCTTTCAAAAGCCGTGCAGCATCGCTTTTGCCTTCATGCCTCTTACCATACACTGCTGCTTTGTTATTATTTTTGTTTCCTGAAGTCCTCCTACCCATCAAAATCTACTTCCCATTGCAACACTGCGCCGTGCTCCTTTTGTAAACTCAGAACAAGCAAGCCTTTGTCTCAGCCTGCCTTCCACAGATGATGCCCAAGCAATGGCATGAAAGCTTCACAAAACTCCCAACTGTGCATCATTTACAATTAATTTGTTTAGCTTCTTTTAAAGAAATAATAATTACCCATCTCAGTATCAGGATACTTTTACAGAAACTGGAGATTCACTTCCAACACTAAGCTGCTTATCCAAATGCATTTTGGCCTAATCATGCTGAAAGAAACCTCAGCGCAAAGCGTACCTGTGCCCATAAACCATCAGAGCTGTCTCTGATTCATGAACATGCCTAGGATGAATTTACAGCTGGGTCCAGGGATGAACCTACTGTACTAACCAATAAGGGCAGAGGAAGCTTTTACTTTCTCAGAAAAAATGAGTTGCAAGAAGTTACGGGATTGGGATAACATAAGGGTGACAAATTGAAAATTACTGGCAAGGGATGCATCTGCAAAGTAGTGCTTATTCCTTTACATACATACAGAGGAGGCAGCATGAAGCGGGAGAAGAGCTGGTTGCACACTCAAGTAGTACAACATATGCAGCAACACAAACCCAGCTCGGGAGGGAAACTCATTTAGTTGGAGCACGCAGCCAACTGAACAGACTTGGAAGAGAAATCTGTGTTGTTCTCAAAAAGGTTCTTCAGAACAGTTTGAAAAAAAATAATACAGGCAACGTGTATCAATATGAACAAAGCCATCCTGCATTCTCCAGAGCTCAGAGCCTACGCAGAGTCCTCGCGTGAGCTGCGACCCACAGGCTGGGGCACGTGCCTGAGATCAGAGTCATGCCAGCACCAGGCTGTGGTCCATGACCCAGCTGTCCAGTCTGACTCCATCTCAAACACCGAGCTAGCTGCTAACACACTGCTCATCAGCTGTGGGAGCAGAAACCAGAGGCAACCCACATCAAAACAGGCTTCCTAGGAGCTCTCCACTGTTGTCCTGGAAGTGAATGGAAGGTGTCGGTTCATTTGGGACATCAACTTCACCCTAACAGCCCAGGTGAGTGCTCCAGCCCACGAACTTTTGGGGAAAAGACTTTGCTTAAAAAACAAAAAACCAAACCAAACCAAAAAGGCGCCATTTTGCTTGATCCAATCAAATACAAAAAGCATTTCTCAAAATTTACTTCCCAACAAAATCCAGAACTTTTTCATTTCTCCTTTCTGTGAACATTTTCAGGATTTTTTTTTTTTTTTAAATTCTGTTTGGTCACTGGCCAAAAAACACTTTTTTGTTTGTTTGTTTTCAAACACAGCATTTGCTTTGTCCCCAACTCCTCCACATACACCCTCCTATTTGGAACTTAATTGTGTTGCTGTTGCCAGTGGCGTAGGATGAGTACAAAGAAACTCCATTTACAGAGTTGCTCTTCATTTACAAATATGTCAGGGAAATCAGAATTAGAACAATAGTATCACTGTAACATTTTAAAAAATGAATAGATGGGGATGTTAATATAGTTTTCAGAGTCTCTACCTGACGTGTTCGAGGAAGTAAATTCTATGACTGTTGGATGCTACGCATCTGATATCAGGCAAAAATATTTAGAAACTCTTAAATATTCACGTTAAGCTTTGGGAAAGGAAAGAAGGTATTTTCTTACACAAGTATAGCAGATTTTGATTTGTCCTCAGGTCAAATACAGTCAAACTGGAAGTTTTTGTTACCTTGCACCATGCAAATTTAATGCAAGAAATAAAAGGTTCACCATAAAACACACTCATGAAAAATAGCCTCAACTTAAGAAAACTGCAGTCTTTTTAAGATTCTCAGTTTCTTTCTTACAAACAAGTCTGCTGGCTCTTTTACTCCTCAGACCAATTTTGGTAAACGAAAGGGGTTCTGCTGCCAGAATGTAGCTTCAAATGCTAGGTTTCCTAATGAAGCAGTAACATCAATATGTGGATAACACATCAGCATGCAAAGGGGAAAGTTTTATTCAGCGTAGCATAGGCCCTTCTTTCATGAAAAGGAGAGCAGGTTTCATGCATTCGATTAATAAGCTTATTATTTCCCATGTGTTCCTTTGTGAGGGAGATATTTTCTTTCTTCAGCAACCTGCATTAACTAAAACTGACTATAAAAGAAATGTTTTCAAACCCAAGCTACAGTCTACAATAAATAATGATCGCTTTCCTCTTTTCAAAGTCAAATCTTGGCCTGAAATCTATTTTGTTCCTAGCGTTCCTGTTAGAAAAGATGTTGGTGGTCTAGTTCCAATGCCAATACGCACTGTAGCATGGGTAAATCTGATTTCAGCTGCTCCTGCAAAGTCTTAACTGCATCTGCAAACCTACCCATTTGTGATGGAAAAAAAGAAAAAGAAAAAGGAAAAAAAAAAGTCTGAAGGCTTATGATTTAATTCTTCCACTGAAGTCTTTGAGAGCTTAAGTTATAATAAGGTCAGGAGAAAATATATGCAATTTCCCATCATTTGTCATGTTCACTCTAAGCAAGTGGATTTTGCTTTGCTATAACTGAAAACTTTCAAAACCAATCACCACAAGCATGAAAGGCAACACAAAGACAAAGATGTTCTCATAAGTTACTTCTCCTTAGGAGGGTCAAGAACTTAACAGCATTTTTATTCATTTTAGAATGAACAAGCTGTCATTTTTTATTTCACAGCTATGGGAAAAATAAAAAGTTCTCATGAAGAGAAATATCTTTTAGTCCAGCCCATAGATTAGATAACTGAGTTAAAAGCAAATCCACAACCAAATTCTAATTTAGGAAGTAAAAGCAGATCTGCTCTATGACATTAGAGTGTTCCAACTGCAGAAACCACTGTGGTAGTTTCATCATTTCCCATCTAGAGTAACGACTGGTGAGACTTGACCCTTCCTATCCACCCACCAGAAGACTTTCCTTCAAAGTACTACAAACAAGAGTCCTACAGAGAAAAGCTTTTCAGCTGAGCTATTCTCTTCTTCAGTAATGATTTGTCATGCTCAGCAAACCCCTGAAGTATGGAAATGCCTGCTTTTCTGCCAGGAGTTGACTATAAAAATCACAATTTTTCCATAATCCAAACCACAGGCAGGTAGAGCAGAACATTCCC